TTTGTTAGTCTCTAAGGTGCCACAAGTACTCCTGTTATTTTTGCTAAGAAGACTGTTGACTTGGCACAGGTGGTAAAAAGTGCTCCAACCACTGATGCTACTGAATCCTTCTGATGACTCAGAAAAAAACCCTGTATTGTGACCTGAGTAACAAAAGTGGGCAGACAGTCAAAACTGAATGAGCCAGTTTCATCTACACCATTCCTTTTGACTATTTCCACTAGCTAACCAGCATTATTTTGACCCACTAGAATCTGTAACTCAGCACCAGTGATGGAGAATCCATCATGATCCTTGGTAAGTAGTTCCAACAGTTAATTACTCTCACTGTTCAAAATGTACACCCTATTTCCAGTTTGAATTTGTCTAGCTTCAACTTCTAGTCATTGGATCGAGTTACACCTTTCTCTGCTAGACAGAAAACCCCATTATTAAATATTTGTTCCCCATAAGGTACTTATAAACTGTAATCAAGTCACCCCTTAACTTTCTTTTTGTTAAGCTAAATAGATATTGTGATAGACTCATGGAGTTCAAAGGAATGTTTTCTAAAATCCTTTAATCATTCTTGTGGCTCTTCTATGAATCCTCTCCAATTTATCAACATCTTTCTTAAATCACGGGCACCAGGACTGGACACAATATTCCAGCAGCAGTTGCACCAGTGCCAAGTACAGAGATAAAATAAAGTTTAGCTAGATTTATTTAAAAACAAAAATAATAGGTAAAAAACACCCCCAAAACTAAGCAAAATGAAAAAAGAAATAATTTGGGGCCAAACAAAATATTTTGTTTAATCTGAAACTTGTTTTTTCCCCTTTTTATTTGTTTCAAACAAACAAATTTTTTCCACTTCAGGTGAACTTGGAATGAAATTATTTTTGGATTTTTCGGTTCACACTCAGCTCTACTTATAGTAAAGTCAAATTAATTAATTTCAATGGCAAAATATGTCTACTTACAATTAAAATTGCACTGAATAAATGTCCAAGATTTCCCACCGAGGCACTAACTTGTTATGTGAGATATCACTCATCATTTATTTACATTCATAATTATGAGCAACATTCTCATTTTTTGTTAATTGATTCTGAAATCTTACAAACTAAGGCCCCAATTCTACAATCAATAGTGCACAGGCACAGCAGTCCACCTTCATGCTCTCCACTGCAGGGTCAGAGCCTAAAAGGCCTGATCCAAAGCAAACTGAAGTCTATGGGCAAATTTTCATTGACTTCAAATAGGCTTTGAATCAGGCGCTTTAAGGGCACCATCTTGCATTCCCTACTCAGGTAGGGCTTCCACTGTGGTCAGTGGGAATTCTACCAGAGTAAGAAGTGCAGCACTTCACCCTAAATATTTAAATGTATCCTTTCCTATAATTGAAGTCAATTACCGAAGATCCACTTTAATGAGAAAAAGTGATTTTTGGAATCACAGTATCTTTCAAGAACAGAAATGAGAAATATTCACCACAGATGAGTTTTTACAATACAAGTGACTTCTAGACTTTTTTGTCTCAGTGTAAAAAGATGTGGTGTTTGGTTTTTTTTTTTTTTTTTTTAAGAAAAAACATTCTTCTTCCAATGCTGGAGAATGATCTTCAGAAACAATTTTTTAAAAAATGTTGAGCAGCATTCTTATGACTCAGTATTGACAGTAGTGATAAATAAGACACATGTGATGATAAGATTCTACGGCCCCCAGGGCAGCAATGCATTGATCATGTACCAGGGGGATATGGATAGACTTTCATATGCGGTTAAATGCCTTGCTGAATCAGGGGCCAAATCACAGCCTTTTTCTGTGTCAAAAATACTAATAAATTATATGGACACATGCTGACATCTCTTGTAAACAGCCATAACAAGGCAATGTTATTATCACCACTGCATTTGCCTACGATATCACTAATAGGCCACTGAAGGCTTTAAAGATGACAACATGTGCACAGTTTAATATTGAGAATTTCTTCCAATTATTTTCTTATTTCTAATATTGCAAACCAGTAATAATAATTTTAAAAAATCAAATGAAGTCACCTGCAGATAGTTTCTACTAAACATTGTTTTAGATCAGTCTTGACAAATGATAGAGTCCCATATTTTAAAAAGAAGAGAGATTTTGTAATTTGCAGCATACAGATTTGTAGCATCACGAATCACATGTTTTCATTGCCATTTAGATTTTCAGTTTCTCTCTCTTGCTCTGAAGTGATTGGTTCTTCTTTTAATAAAGTGCTTAATTGCTTCTGTGCACATGAGAGGAATAGTTCCAAACTACACAGGCTACGTTGGCGGACAACTTGATCGAGCTGTTGGAAAAACAAGAAAAAATTAATTAGCAAAAAAACTAGAAATAAATACCAAATTGTAAATAAAACCATTTTGAAATTAAATGCATTGAGTACATGCAGGATTTTAATGATACAATGAAATTTAATCACGTCCATATATCTGATTTTCCTCTAACTAAAATGAATAAATGGCTACCCATAGTTATTCAACAGCTGTCGGTGTTTGTTAGATAATATTAAAATGTCCAGATTATTAAATACTTTGGGGAATCTTACACAAACATAGTACTGTAAATGCTAGATGGTTAGTGTCTTGGTCTGGGCACTTTTAAGTTGTTAGCCTATCCATAGGGTAAACACAACAATATTACTGGGTTTAGTCCCTTGTAATAGAACATCCCGTCTTTGACAGACCTCCAACACATCACTTTTTTCCTTTTCCCATGCACTGTTAGCAGTTCTTAAAAAGATAATAAGCAATGATGCATTCTCTGAAGTGACTAGTCAGTATTTCCTCCAAAAGAACAATCAAATTCCAGCCAAATTACATGACAGTAAAGACTTTTTTTACAGTACAGTAGTCAGATAATTTTAAATATTAAATACTGCTTAAACAATCTGTAAAAGTGTTACGAAAGTTTATTGCACCCTGAATGAATTCTGAAAGAAACAGGGGTTACAAAACTACAACCAAATAGTTCTGATATTCCAGCTGCTGCTACCCCCGGGGCTCCGACAGCGGGGCTCGGGCGGCGATTTAAAGGGCCCGGGCTCTTCGCAGCAGCCGGAGCCCGGGGCTCTTTAAATCACCGCTGGAGCCCTGCCGCTGCTACCCCGGGGCTGCAGCAGCGGGGCTCGGCCGGCAATTTATAGGGCCCGGGTCTCCGGCTGCTGCGGGGAGGGCCGGACCCTTTAAATCACCACTAGAGCCCTGCCGCTGCTAACCCCGGGGCTGCGGCGGCGGGGCTCGGCTGGCGATTTAAAGGGCCCAGGCTCCCTGCAGCGGCCGGAGCCCGGAGCTCTTTAAATCACCGCTGGAGCCCTGCTGCCACTATCCCGATATAACGGGGTTTCACCTATAGTTAAAGGAGAAGAAAAGGGTGGGAGGAGCAGGAACTAACAGAAAGATGTGAAATAAAGCATCACCATTTATATCACTGTATAATTTTCCTCTTAATATACCGTTTTAGCCATTCTACTTACCGAATCCACTAAAATTATTATTTGGGTTGTTTGTGTAAAATAATTTCTTTATAGTTATTGCGAAGAGGTGAAGGACATTCCAGACAATATCCAAACTGCTGATCTGGGTTTGATGGTTAAAACCACTTGACCCAGCAACAACTACACAGTTTCTTAAAGATGAAAGGCTTGTTCTAATGATCCCAGAGTCTTTGAAAATTCCCACTGGTTTTGATATAAAAGACACCACTTCTACAACAAATTGAACACTACATCTAAATGCAACTGAAACCACCTGCAAACACTTCACTTTGAATTTGATGATGTATTTTTGTTGGTCAACACAGAAAAAGAGGTACTAAACATTTTTTATTCACTCACTGTCTCTATTCTGCATATTGCTGGATTCCCCTCCATCCAGGCTGTGGGGAACTCAATAATTCATTCCACTGAGGGCAGGGCCCGCTGTGATAAAAAGGGTGGGGCAAAGTGACAGGATTTGCCCCACAGTGTTGCATTTGCCAGGACATAAATGAATGACACAGTAACATGGTTTATTTTTGGAACTTCTGAATGTTATATTATTAGTGAACAAAATAAATAGCAGAAGCCCTATCATTTATATCTTAATTTTTTTTAATATGAAGCAACTAATATAATAGCAGAGCAATGCTTTCAATGCAACCTTCTTTTGGGCAGCCCTATTTCAATTGAATTTATGTATAATAAACTCCTGGGGCTAGAGTGAGAAGTAGTGGTATAAGTCTAATGAGACATGTAAAGTTATGCCACTCAAGAGAAGTAGGTAATGAAATTCAGAAGAAATCTAATTTTGTACCACATCTGGCAAACTGTGGTGCACCAGTGAGTAAGCAAGGTTTTGAACTGTAATCAGCTTTCTAACAGTCATGCAGATTGCTCATACAGCTGTAATACTAGCAAAATACCAATATGAGGCCATGTGGCCCTGGCAGGCCTTAAGTGGTTAGCATCTGCAAATGGCCACGGTTTATGAAAATATATTATATGCACCACACATCTAGCATTCATGGATTTAATTATAGCTTTCAACAAAAACCTCAGATCCTGTGGTATGTTTAAGACTATGTATTTAGACAGTTTGCTACCCATAAGTTGCCATAATGCTATCACAAATGTTTGCATGAGTGCTATATTCTAATAGATAACAGCTTTTCTATTTTAATACATAGTGCTATGCCAGCCCAATGGTACCGCCTAACTTGTCTTTGAAAAATGCCTTTATGATTTAGTTACAATTTTGACTGAATAAACTATGATAAATATACAGGTTGTCATGAATCTCTTCACTGATATTCCTTCTACTCTCTTGCAATGCAAACGAGACTCTTGCTGAAATACTGTTTCACACAGTGTGACTTTCAGCAGCTCTCTACGTCTCTTATAGCCCACCGAAACTACATCCCTTTTTCCTAGAATTTACGCCCTCCTCAGTCTCTCCACCAGTATTGTACAACAGCTTCTACGTAATTCCTCTCATTTGGCTGCATCATGCACGTCTCTAGCTACAAAGGAACTTTTTGCCATTCTCACTAGTAGTGCAGATGCCATTGCGCCACACACTGCCAGATCTGAATTTAGCTCATATTTTATATAGTTTGATAACACCTGTTACAGACAAGCCATCGGAGGTGTGCATGTGGGTGGGTGGGTGGGCCGAGCCCAGAGCAACATAATCCCCAAAGCAGCAGTGGTTAGTGGGGGCAGGGTAGACCAGGGAGCAATATGAAGGCAAGAGCTCTCACAGCTCATTCCTCTGTGGATCTGGAGGTGTCCTTTTGGTAGTCTCTATAGTTGGAACGTCTTGCCCCACCCCCCTTCTGAAGTCTCCCCCAAGCCTTCAAGAAGATGATTTGTAGAGCTCTCTTCATGGGGAAACTTGCAGTAGTTTTCTGTGCCTCTTATCTTCTCCCTTGGTTTCTCCATAGGAAGGGGAGATATAGCTCAGCTTACGTAGGATCATCTAGTATGGATAGCAAAGAACATTTGGGACCCATTTCTCTAAAAATATCACTAGGTCCTCATATTCTGCTCCCTCTGGTAGACATATCAATTAGATAAGCTTAGCATGAAACTCATTTTTAACAGTTTTTCCTTTACTCCACTTATGGCCTATCCTTTAATAAAGTATTCAGCTAAACTCCCTCCCCATCTTTTCTTTCAGCCTGATTGTGCAGATTCTGTTTCATGTAAACCAAAGCAGCCCTCCAGATGTGTGATCTGTGACACAATGGTGTTACCTTTCTTATCCAAGGCAGCAATCTCAAACTGTGTATTTGAAAATGTATTTATTTCACAAAGTATTAATGTAAATACTTCCTGCATGGAGTGGTTTGGGTGTATCTGAACAAACTCAGAATTCTTTGGCTTTTGAGATAGAGGCTTTGATTTTAAGAGTCTCGGGTGAATTAGCCATATGTTTGGAGATTTTTTTTGTTGGGTTCAATTGGTTAGTTATTCACCATTTTTCATAAGGAAAGTTTATTGCTTGTTAAAAGTTTTAAAGTTTATGTAAACTGAGTAAAATAAGAGATCAGAACCTCAGTTGTCTCCTGTCTGCTCATTTTATGTGTTAGCTTTGCCTTCCCATTAAACATTATATTTTTAAACTCTTTCATGCGACAGTAAATGACAAAGCACTGTGTATAAACACTTAGCTTCCTCTTATAACATGAGAAGCATAATGAAATGACGCTGACTTTGAAAATGGTATATATTTCAAGTACATTCAAGAGGAGAATATTTCCTTTAATGTAGAACTAGGCCAGGAAGAAAAAAAAACAAGCAGCTTTGTTACGCAATATATTGCTTAATGAAATGTTATCCACAGTCAAACAAATTTTAATAAATAGTGCTTTCAACATCACTGCGCCTCTGCTAACGAAATATATATGAAATGTGAAAATATGTAAGTAGATCATTTTGAATGTTGTTTTTCTAAATAGTTTTTCCTCTATATTTTTAGATTATGTTCACTTCATGGAATGATCTCATTATTTAAATAAAAATAAATGGACATCTGGCAAATTCACAGACTGAATGTGACTCATATGCAAATATGATCAGTATGAATAACACCTATTTGGGCTTGAGCATTCACCCACCCAAGAAAGCCCCAGAGTTCTAATTCTGCAGAAACTGAAAAACACATGAGCTTGATCTGGAACTACAACAGCTTGGAGAGATTTTTCAACCCATTGCCACCATGGTTAATACTGAGGAACATTTTATCTTCTGCTTACAACTGAAAACTATCAGGCACAAAGTTTCCTGGTTCTGTACAGTGCTGCCTTCTTTTAACATAGAGCTATTAGGTACTGTTTTCACAAAATCTCTCTCGCACTGCTTGCATTATTGTTTTGTCTGAGCACTTTTTTTTTTTGACAGTCACCAGCACCATTTTAATTGTATAAAGTTCTTTTTTCTTGAACTTCTGTGACTATGAGACAATCACTTAAGAGCTAAATTCTTCTCTCTGATGTGCAAACGTGGCACTCTTTGAGAATTTGGCTGTAATTTTTAATAGCCATAGCAACATTGTTTCCTGACTCATCAGGTGCCATTTGCCATTGGAGTTTCCACAACAAACCACAGCCCTTCAGTTTCCAAAAATTAGCTGATTCTAATAGCACATTCCAAAAACATTCAGCTGCTGTTTTTTCCTTCTGTTTTAACCTTCACCCCAACTTTGAGGCCCCAATATGATTCCACAGCCTGCTGGCCAAAGATGACTGGATGGAACTCCCTGTGGAGACATCTACATCACTCTTTGACCACACACAAGGGTTTGCTTTTGA